TATATTTATGATTGTTATCTCTTCCTCTTGGTTATAGCTAATTGGATTTATATATGCCTCACTTACACCTGTGTCAGATTTTTTTTCTATGCTTGGGAAATCTTCTGCTACTACTTTTGCAAGTAGTCTTTTTATGTCATTGATGTTGGCTCCTGCTTCTTCATTGACACCTACACATCTTATATTGTTGCTCTTTGCTTTGTCTTGCAGCTGTTGAAATTCTATTTTCTCGTTCCTGACTACTTTTTAGAGATCTTTCCTTTCAGGATCACTACCTGAAATGCTATCTTCAAGGTCTAAAAGTCTATCTTCAGTTTCTTTCAAGTAGTTTTGCCAGCTTTCAGTGGAATTATTAATTTCCTAGGTATCTGTTTAAATCAGTTTCATGAATTCTAATTCTTTCCTGTGTTGTTCATGAATTGTTTCCATCACTCCTTTCCATGGTGGGGGGTGGACAGAGCTTAACAAGGTTCCCTCCACAGTGGCAGGGCAGGGCAGTTTAGATGTTTAATTTTTAACAATTACCTCTACATAGTTTGCAAAATGTAAAACATCTGCAAACACTGATTAATGTACTAAAACACTTTGCTAAGGAAAAAATTTAAATTATAGTCAATATCTTAAAATTGCATTTACGTGTGCTACAACATAATGCTATCTTAAGGTCCTTGAATGGTTTTCTAGGGCTTTGAACTTGAATATTTACACTAACTCCAATGAATACTTTTCACTAAATATTATGTCATTAAAGCAAACTATCCTGCATAATAACAAAGCCCATAATTGAATCCTCTTGGAAGATTATAAAAGCAGCTTTATTAATTATGGGCATTTAAGATGGCAAAGCTCAGAAGATCTAGAAAGGTCCAAGAGCTGCAGGGGAAAACACCGCATGTCAGTGCCTCCCAGCTTCATCATTCCAGACTTGTGGAAGGGACCACTCATGCAAACACTGATCATGAGGAAATTAGGAAGAAGCATGGACTGTATGAACAATGTTTACTCATACACAAGTTAATGCGTAAGTTAAGACAAAACTGTGTATTCCTTCACATAGACTTAGTAAGAAAGTTCTCAAGAGTGAACTTTCTATTAGTAATGTCTAATAAACAAAAACAGTTCCTTGGTCCCACTTTTTTCTTTTATACAGGGTCTTCTTTAAAATTTTTAAATTCATTTTAATGAGAAAAAAAATCAATGAAACAGATTCAAAACAGAAAGTTATATAGGGTCTTTTACTCAGTCAGACTCATAATGATCCTCTTGTCTCATCCTAGTGCTGGTATTACAGATGTGCACCACCATGCCCCGTTCCAGGACCTGCAAGGCACACCCGGGGATCCAGGGCCAGCACAGCATGTTGTACACAGGATAGAACTCAGGACCTTGCACTTGACAGGCAGACACACTGCTGAGCTATCTCCCCAGCCCCATTGCTCCTACATCTCTATTGCAATAACTGAAAGGCAAGATCTGTTCTCCAACTCAACTTCTGCTGAGTAGAACAACCAAGGAGAAACTCTCAGGCTCTATAAACCACTCTAGTTTAAGAAAGCAGCCATGAGAACATTGTGGAACAAAACCAGTTCTGACACTGATCTAGTCATGATACAGAGACCGCAGTAGGGATGGGAAAATAAGCAGGTTGGGTCTTTACCTGCTAATCATTAAAAGGAGGATTTGTATTTTTATTTTCCAACCCAGGATTTAAAAGTCAGTTTTGCTATAAACTGTAATTCTTTCAACAAATGGCTACTAAATATTACCTCTTAGGACCCCTTATAATACTAAAAGCAGTCTATTGCTATGTAACACTTTGTAAGAAGCTAAACAATTTAAATTCGTAAATAAGTTTACATCCTATCCTGTCTCCATTGCTCAAGGGGATTTGACTGACCTTGTCAGACACAGAAGTTAACATTTCTTGTCATATAGGTCTTGCTTTATCTTGGTCTTCACTATCCAGCAGAAAAGTATAAAAATGAGATATAAAAAGTAAAGCCATATTAATATGCTGAGTTGTAATAGATTCCAGCCAACAACTTCTGACATTGTCAGTCCTACGGATAACCCACTACTATTGTAGACTACTGGACTATATTGGATTATTTTGCTGAATTCACACAGCTAATATGTTCAAATGGTGATGGAATGCCCGTCTCTAACAAAACTAAACAAAAAAGGGGATATAAATGAAGGACCATTTTGTATCTTTATATACAAAATAGGATACACACCCAGCTACTTTCTCTTGGTTCAATGAGAAGAAAGATTTGTACTAACAGTGTTTGGACAGGATGTCATGTCTGCATTTTTTTTTTTTTGCCTTTAAGTCCCAAAGATCTTTATTCTCAATTCTGAAAAAGTAGATAATGTCACTGAGAGTAAGAGGTCCCACAAACTCTAGTCAAGTCTTTAGTCAGGATTACATCCCACTCTCACTACATGAGATAAATTAATCAACTTGGAATATACAGAAGTGAAAGCAAAAAGGGAACATTTTTACAGGCAGGTGATCCCAGTTACCTTAAAGTTAATTTTCAAATTTACATAGTCACAGAACTGTTCAATTCCAGTGAACATCAAAAAATCAGTTCAGAAGGGCCGGGGAGATGGCTTGGTGGAATGAACGCTTCCCTGGCAAGTGCAAGGGTCTGAGTTCAATTCCCATTTCTAAAAAAAAATCAGTTCAGAAACACTATCAGGCAAGCATGCAAAATTCAGAATATTTTTTAAAATGCAAGTCCCAGTTGCCCAAATGCACTCCTCAGGCAAAGGTGAATTTGAAGGCGCTCATCAGAACCAAAAACAAGGGGCTGGTGAGATGGCTCATTAGTCTAAAGCACCTACTTAGAACAAACTTAACAAAGCACAGGGACTACGGTTCAATCCCCCGGCATACACACAAAAATAAATAAATACAATTTTTAAAAAAGAACCAAAAGCAAGAGGAACAGAAAGAGACACTTAAAAATCACCAAAGTTGATTTCCTGGTTTTATAAATGAGAGAGAGCAGACTCCAACTGGTGATGCTCACAGGTGAGATCAGGTACAAGGATCTAATTCCCGGTAATATTTGTAGTTACATATGCTTAAAATACAAGAATATAAATACCCAGAAACATTAACTATGCTGATTTAAATAAAATTGCTCAAAACAAACAAAGAGGAAAGAAGTGGAGCCGTTAGTACAGCCAGGCACGTTTAGTAGTAAATAGAAAGGTCTCATTTTAACACTTTTCAAAAATACAATCAAATCTCTATTCAACTTTCATTTGTTAGAAAATGTGCTAGGTTTAAAAATGTACATTCACCACTTTCCTACACCTTTTCACTGTTTTCCTTTTTTTGTGGTGCTGGGGCCAAATCTAAAGCCTCACACATGCTACACAAGTACTCTATCCTCAACGGCAATCCCAGCCCTTTTGCCTATTCTTTAAAACTAAGCATTGGGTTTTTTAATGGTATATGTACATTTTAACTACAAGGCTAAAGAATAAACAAATTTTGTATTTTGGTAACTCACAGTGTTTTATAAAATGAAAAACTCTCTATTAAGATACACTTTTCACTGGGAAAAATAAATAATAGATAAATGGATCTACACAAAGTAAACATTAACTTTGGTAGATTTCAGTGGACAGGCCACTAATAAGCATATTTGCTCTTATTCCCCCATTCGTTCAACTTCTGAGCTTAGAATTTTTTTTTTTTTTTCCGAACCAGGGATTGAACTCTGGCCCTTGCGCTTGCCCAGGAAGCGCTTATTCCACTGAGCCATCTCCCCGGCCCTTGAGATTAGAATTTTTAAAATCTTTTTGAGATTTTATTTTGTTGAGATTTGTTTTCTTTTTTTCAGTGGAACCAGGGATTGAACTCAGGCCCTTGTGCTTGCCAGGGAAGCACTTGTTCCATTGAGCCATCTCCTGGCCCCCCCGAGATTTGTTTTCATTCCACATCCTCTTCAACCAAGCTCTGAGCGCTCATATGCTTTGACTAATGGCTGGAGCTTGGTGAGAAGCACCTGGAACGCCGGGGGTGGAACAGCTTGCTGTAACACCGCAGCGGCTGCTGTGGCTGCCCACATACAGCAATTGCATTTGTCAGACGGCCCACGCCCTTCTCATACTCACCTTGAGCCAGTAACTCTTCGCCACGCTGTATTTCTTCAAGGAAAAATTTCTGAACAGCTTCAGCAACATTAAGGTCCGGTAAATACGTCACAGAACATTTTTTGTCTGGGAGGTAACCCTATGAAGTCATAAATAACCATGAACACAGGACCTTAGAAAGTCCAGCTCTCTCCTTGGCAAGCTTCTGTTTCTTTCTTCGTTCTCGAGTCTTGTTCTTAAAATTGGGATCACTTCGCCGCTTGCGGTCGAAGTAAGTGCAGGACCCGATGAAGAGGGCCCGGCACAGCCGGTGGCGGTGGCGCTGTTCCCACCCACCATCTCCTTTCCACTTCACTGTGCCCGGCGCAGAGGGCCTGCTCGGGAGAGGTCGGCCACAAACCTGAGAGGCAATGCTCATGTCTGCATCTTATACTATGAATAACACTAAGAGGACAACAATATTCAATGTATTAATTATTGAAATGTCCAGGGCCGGGGAGATGGCTCAGTGGAGTAAGTGCTTCCCTGGCAAGCGCAAGGACCTGAGTTCAATCCCCGGTTCCGAAAAAAAAAAAAAAAAAAAAAAAGTCCTACTAACCTGTTTTGAAACTGTCTAATTGCTATTTGTTTGTCAATACAATTTTTTTTAAAGGTCTCTAATATGAAAGAAGAAACCAAGGCCTCTTAGCTGTAGTAGGCTCAATAAACTTTCCGAGAAGGTGGGTGCAGGCAGCTCTCGCAATTGGGGATGGGGAGTACGGGGATCACTACACACTTTAGGTGTCAGCGCTGGACCTTTACAGTGGCGCCAGGGTACAGAGGCCGGCAGCTCCCTGGAACCCAGCCCAGACCTCCGCCTCTCCCTGCTCGCGCGCCCCGCGCCCCGCCGGCTCCGAGGCAGCGCCCCACGGCGGACGCCAGCGGTTCTGCGCCGGGATCGGCCGGCCCGCGCTCAGCGTCCGCGGCCTGCAGGGGGCAGCGCGCGCCGAGTCGCCCGAGGAGCCGCCGGGCCAGGCCGGGCCTCCGCGCGGACCGCAGCTTCAGCCCAGGGCGAGCCGCTTCGCGGCCGCATCCGGTAACTCGGTGCCCACCGGCCGGAGGCGGTACACGGCTTCCGGATGAGCGCTCTGCAGCAGACAGGTGCGGGAAAGAGTTCTGCTGCGGGCCCCAGGCAGGGCGGGACGGCGGGACGGCGGGCGGGGATCCGGGCTCCCTGGTGGAAAGGTTCCGCGATGGACCGCACCTGGGAGCCACCGAACGCGGGCGGCGGGCGCGGTTGCCGGCGTGCTGTTGTTGATGCCCCGCGGCTCAGTCAGCCTGGCTTTTCCTCTATTCCCAGCATGCCTGTGCACACTCGTGTGTGTGTGTGTGTGTGTGTGTGTGTGTGTGTGTGTGTGTGTGTGCACACGCGCAGAGCGTTCTGACACTTGAACCTAGATGAGGATTCCCGAGTCGTGTTTAGGCATGCAGCTCAATTCGTACAGCTAAGAAAGATGGATTACTGTGTACAGGAATCCACTGGTCTACCTCGTGGCTCTCTGTATTTTTAAGATCAATTCACTTATTTTTCGATTGACACATACTTGTATGGATTTATGAGGTACAAAGTGCTGTTTCAGTTAATGCCTGTGTTATGTAATGGTATGGGAATAATTAGTAAATCAATTACATGAAACTGTTAGCACGTGTGCAGTACATGTCTACATTCCTCTTAGGCAATAGCCACGTGTACTTAATGTACCTTGATGCTTTTTATTCCCTTTCCCTCCCCATTCTCCTCCGTCCCTCTGTAGGTCCCCCAACAGCCCTGTTTTCTTTTTCTTGGTCCGTATTTGGGACACATGAGTAATTCATCATGGGCGGTTGATGTGCGTACATGACACATCTTAAAGTGTTTGTGTCCTCTTTCTCTCCCTCTCCCTCTTGCTTTCGCGAGGTCCAGCTCCGCTTCTTTTCCTCAGTATTTAGTTCTGTTCTTTATGTGCTTTGGGTCTCTCCTTGTTGAGAAGCCTCTCTCAAGCTATAGTAGGGCACGCCGTGGTTGGGACACCAGCGTCTGCGCCTCTGTTCAACCCTAACATTACATCCACTCACCCATCTCTCCCGGTCCTTAGCCGCTGGGGACCACGATTTGGTTCTTGCCTCCTGAAAGTGCAGCTTTGTGGGTGCCCACAGCACTGAGGCCGTGCAGTGTTCGCCTCACGCTGCCATGTTTCACCACGTTTCACGGGATTTTGTTCTTTGTGTGGCTGAGTAATCCTGTCACTGTGCAGTCGCCCCTGGATGGACAGTCATACTGGTTTTGTATCTTGATGAGTGTGAACGGTGCTGCAAGGAACATGGGACTGAGTGTGTCTCCTCCACACACAGCTCTCATGCCCAGGAGCAGACTGGTGGATCATTGGGAAGCTATTTTTGGAGGAACTTCCACTGTGTTTTTGATCACGGCTGGACTAAGCCATATTCCCACTGGCAGTGGCTTCGCTTTTCTTGCAGACAGCCAGCCTCCAGCGTGGGGAGGTGGCACTGAGGAGGAGATGTGATCCTGCAGCCGGGCATACCATCTCCCTGAAGATGGGTGCCTGGCTTTACTTCTCTGCTTTGACTTTCTCATTGCTTGGAACTCCAGTTATTCTGATGCTCAAGAGCACAGGGCTGCTTAATGCGCTCCTCATTGATTTATTTCCTCTTCATGTGCTGTCTCCCTGACTAGAAAGCAAACACAGAGTGCGGCTCTGAGCTGAGATCTCTTCCTTCAGTGGAACGATTGCCTCATCCATCCTTGAGCACTCACTGCCCGCTCAAGCAAATGTTGTTCGATAGGCTGACAGACAAGAGGAGTAAAGAAGAACGGACCAAACACAAGGGCCTGAGTTCAATACCCAGTTCCACAAAAAAAAAAAAAAAAAAAAAGAACTGACCATGGTAGTCCAACTCCTGTAAACCCAGCACACAGAAGGCTGAGGCATGAGGATTGCCACCAATTGGAGGACAACCTGAACTATATAGTGACTTCAGAGCCAGCCTGAACTACAGAGTGAGTACCTGTCTGAAGAAAAAAAAATAAATAAATAAATAAATAAATAAATGAGACAGAGTGAGTGAGGTGTAAAGAACTGGACGAGAGAATAAAAGAATAATGTTTTTCTAAGACTGGCTTAACTAAGGAAGGGAACAGGAGGAGAGGGTCTAATCTAAGGTAAGAAGAAGGGAGGATTTTGGGGGCCTAATGGTTTCACACAAAGGAAATCCTGTTGTGGATAACAGTAACTCTGAGGAGATATCACTGGCTCTTCAGTGAGACTTTTGTCACTGATTTAAGGAAAATGGGTAACTCAAGGGGTATCCTGTGAAAGGAAGTTATAATACTGGAAAGCATTCAGATCAAGAGTCTAAAGATAGTGGAATATTGATTCTGATCCCAAAACTACATTTAAATGTTGTTTCGTTGTTTTGTGGATTTGAACCATTTTTATTTGTTTGTTTTCTGAAACAGGGCCTCAGCTCAGGCTGGCCTGGAATTCATGATGGCCCTCCTGCCTCAGCCTCCCGCTAGGAGTATAGGCGTACGCCACCACGCTCAGTCGAACCATTTTAACTGTCCACTGAAGTTACAGAGGGTTTGCTTTCACTTTGTATTGCTAGATACAATGAATAAGAGAGGCAGGATTCTGACCCTGTCTCATCACTAAGGTACACATTCCAAAGACACTTTTTCAGCATTTGTAATGCTTATAGATGTTTAGACTTTTAAAAAGGATTAAGATATATTCAAGTAAAAGACATACATCTAATGCAGAACTCAGAATCTTACCATTTCATTTGTGACTAATTATTGTGAAAATGAGTATTTTCATTCTCTGAAGTGATGGTTTTATTGGAAGCATTTCATAGTGCCTGAGAGACAAAAAAGTATCTGTTGATTTTTGTGGTATAAAAATGAAATGCAGGGGCTGGAGAGATGGCTCAGTGGTCTAAAGCACCTACTTGAAACAAGTTTGGCAAAGCACAGGGACTGCGGTTCAA